GCAGAGGTGACCTTAAGACAGTACCTAGCAGAGGTGACTTTGAAACAGTACCCAGCAGAGGTGACCTTGAGACAGTACCAAGCAGAGGTGACCTTGAGACACTACTTAGCAGAGGTGACCTTGAGACAGTACTTAGCAGAGGTGACCTTGAGACACTACTTAACAGAGGTGACCTTGAGACAGTACCTAGCACAGGTGACCTTAAGACAGTACCCAGCAGAGGTGACATTGAGACAGTACTTAGCAGAGATCACCTTGAGACAGTACCAAGCAGAGGTGACCTTGAGACAGTACTTAGCAGAGATCACCTTGAGACAGTACCTAGCAGAGGTGACCTTGAGACAGTACTTAGCAGAGGTGACCTTAAGACAGTACCAAGCAGAGCTGACCTTGAGACAGTAACTAGCAGAGGTGACCTTGAGACAGTACTTAGCAGAGGTGACCTTGAGAGAGTACCAAGCAGAGGTGACCTTGAGACACTACTTAGCAGAGGTGACCTTGAGACAGTACCTAGCAGAGGTGACCTTGAGACAGTACTTAGCAGAGGTGACCTTGAGACAGTACTTAGCAGAGGTGACCTTGAAACAGTACCCAGACTGAGAGTCATAACCTCGTAATATGAAGGTCATGACCTCGTAGACTGAGAGTCATGACCTCGTAGACTGAGGGTCATGACCTCGTAATATGAAGGTCATGACCTCGTAGACTGAGGGTCATGACCTCGTAATGTGAAGGTCATGACCTCGTAGACTGAGGGTCATGACCTCGTAGACTGTGTGTCATGACCTCGTAATCTGAAGGTCATGACCTCGTAGACTGAGGGTCATGACCTCGTAGACTGAGGGTCATGACCTCGTAGACTGAGGGTCCTGACCTCGTAGACTGAGGGTCCTGACCTCGTAGACTGTGTGTGTCATGACCTCGTAGACTGAGGGTCATGCCCTCGTAGACTGTGTGTGTCATGACCTCGAAGACTGTGTCATGACCTCGTAATTTGAAGGTCATGACCTCGTAGACTGAGAGTCCTGATCTCGTAGACTGAGAGTCCTGACCTCGTAGACTGAGGGACCGGACCTCGTAGACTGAGGGTCCTGACCTCATAGACTGAGAGTCCTGACCTCATAGACTGAGAGTCCTGACCTCGTAGACTGAGAGTCCTGACCTCGTAGACTGAGAGTCCTGACTTCGTAGACTGAGAGTCCTGTCCTCGTAGACTGAGAGTCCTGATCTCAAAGACTGAGGGTCCTGACCCCGTAGACTGAGAGTCCTGACCTCATAGACTGAGAGTCCGGACCTCATTGACTGAGAGTACTGACCTCATTGACTGAGAGTACTGACCTCATTGACTGAGAGTTCTGACCTCGTAGACTGAGGGTCCTGACCTCATAGACTGAGGGTCCTGATCTCATAGACTGAGGGTCATGACCTCGTAGACTGAGGGTCCTGATCTCGTAGACTGAGGCTCACTGTGACTATATATATACCTGATGTATATTGTCACTTGTGTGTAGAGTACCTGACGACGATTTAAATTTACATGTTTAACGACAGCCCCGCTCCTGTGCCAGGAAAGTCCACTACGGGCTCACCATAGCCCGTGCTACTTGGAACGTTTAGTTCCCAGTAGCTGAATTTTAAACAACAAACAACAACATGATTAACATTATGGAAACTTTTGTCAAGTTGTCTTCTCTGTCTTAATCATATTGTGTGTAATATTGATTTAACATTGTTAAAAATGCTTAACAGCATTAATCATCTTGTGTTTATCATGTCTTATCATTAGTCGTATTGAGTTTAATATTAGTGTAATATTTATCAAAATGCTTAACAGCATTAATCATCTTGTGTTTATCATTGATGCAACATTGGTGAAAATATTTTACATCATTAATCCTTTTGTATTTAGCACTGATATAACATTCAGCAAAAGCTCAAAAACAATAATCACATTGTGTTTATACAAAGACATTACATCGAGAAAACTACGCATCAATAACTATGTTTAACAAACTCAAAACACAAGACAAAATATTCAGATAATTAGTCACGGGAAATTTGTCTCAAGAACAGTTCCATAATTCTTGTTTATATCTGAATGTTACAATTTGTAGTCCATAATTGTTCTTTACGTTGTTACTGAGTGAACAGCGGGTAGTTATGTTGTTAAGTGGAGAATACTATTGAGCTGATGTATGCACACAGATGTATACCTCACTTGTTTGTTTATATACACCCAGATGTTTACCCCACTTCTTGGTATGTATCTTGAGGTTATCTCGGGGCTTAGCATCCCCGCGGCCCAGTCCTCGACCAGGCCTCCTTTTTGTTACACACCTCCAGGAAGCAGCCCGTAGCAGCTGTCTTAACTCCCAGGTACCTATTTACTGCTAGGTGAACAGCTGCATCAGGATGAAAGAAACTATGCCCATTTGTTTCCGCCTTCAACGGGGATCGAACTTGGAACCTCAGAACGACGAATCCCGAGCGCTGTCCATTCAGCTGTCAGGCCCACTATTCACCACTATATACCACCATATACACCGAGATGTATACCCAACTTCCTGGTGCATATACACCGTGATGCATACCCAACTTCCCGGTGTATATGCACCGAGATGTATACCCAACTTCCCGGTGTATATACACCGAGATGTATACTCATCTTCTCGGTGTATATGCACCGAGATGTATACCCATCTTCCCGGTGTATATGCACCGAGATGTATACCCAACTTCCCGGTGTATATACACCGAGATGTATACCCATCTTCCCGGTGTATATGCACCGAGATGAATACCCCAACTTAATGGTGTATATACACCGAGATGTATACCCAACTTCCTGGTGTATATACACCGAGATGTATATCCATCTTCCGGGTGTATATACACCGAGATGTATACCCATATTCCGGGTGTATATACACCGAGGTGTATACCCATCTTCCAGTTGTATATACACCGAGATGTATACCCATCTTCCGGGTGTATATACACCGAGATGTATACCCAACTTCCTGGTGTATATATACCGAGATGAATACCCCAACTTCCTGGAGCATATACACTGAGATGTATACCCAACTTCCCGGTGTATATACACTGAGATGTTGTTACGGACCCGAGCCCAGCGTTCGAGCATGGAGCAGTGACGACCGCGCCATCTGTGGGTCAGCTCCCGAAACTCCCTCCAAATGGACGACGCCATCTAGTGAGGACGAGAGATACCGGCCACTGGGGCTGGTTACCCGTCCTAATCAGCTAGTGACGTAGCCGCTGCTGACCTCTGGTGAGGTGACGCTTAGACAGCAACGCCATCTATGGCGTGGATAGGTGGGCGTTTGTGTCTAAGCGTGTGTTCTGATGACGTGTCTGATTACAGAGTCGACCTGGGACTGCTGAATCAGACGGTGGAGCAGTCTACCCAAGGCAGCCGTAGAACCTGCACGCATTTGCTGCTGAAGCTCTGAGTCACCCCCCCCCCCCGGATGAACACTGTTGTGTTAGCCTGCCTGTGAGGTGGAAGAACCAGGGATTGTCGTACCCGGGGCTGACTGGTGGAGAAGACTAGCCACTGGGGTGTTGTGGTGAGGAGAGTGATCTGTGAAATCACACGAGGCTCCTGCCTAGGGCTCGCAACCCTAGTATCGGTCGTGGAGTGGCCTAACCAGCGGAACTGATTGGAACCTGCCAGCTACAGGCTGGATTTGTGGTTGAAGGCCTCCACGACGGTGCCCCCAGTGGAACTGTGATTTGGCTGGCCTGTGGCCAGGGTAGACTCGAGAGAATCGAAGGATTCAACGTGAGGCCACAAGAAGAGGACCAGGGCTACTCCTCTCGAGCACCGTGGAACATTCCTGCGTCTTCAGAGGAAGATCATTCTGTATATTAGTGTTTATACCCCCCGTGTGACTGTTTATATATTTATTTATGGTGGTGGTGTAATTATATATTTGAGTTTAGTGCCTTTGTCTCCCTTCCCCTTTAATTTACTTGCGTTACGGAACGCACCCCTTGAAAGCCACTACTAGCTTGGGGCCGGATACCCAAACTCTACTAACATCAGAGAAAGAACCCAGTTGCGACCCAATAGGGCCGTAACAGATGTATACCCAACTTCCTTGTGTATATACACTGAGATGTATACCCAACTTCCTGGTGTATATACACTGAGATGTATACCCAACTTCCTGGTGTATATACACTGAGATGTATACCCAACTTCCTGGTGTATATACACTGAGATGTATACCCAACTTCCTGGTGTATATACACTGAGATGTATACCCAACTTCCTGGTGTATATACACTGAGATGTATACCCAACTTCCTGGTGTATATACACTGAGATGTATACCCAACTTCCTGGTGTATATACACTGAGATGTATACCCAACTTCCCGGTGTATATACACTGAGAGTTTACTATAATTATGACTTCGTTTTGGGCTGAAGTATAAAAATATGGAGGTGGCCTTAATTATAATAATAATACACAGAGAGTAACCACACTAACGTGACTGCATCAATGAGAAAATTCGTAGGAGCCGCAATGCACAGCGCATAGGTTCGAATCCTCATCACGGCTCCTGTGGATTTTCTCAATAATAATGATACTTAAATTAAAATTATCATTTAAACGACTAATGTTGGAAATAAATATTTCATTCACCTGGGCTGTCGGAGACTTAAACCGTGGACCCCACGCATGTGAGGCCGAAGCTCTACCGACTGGACTATCGAGTAGTCATAATAAGCAAAGAGTCCATAGGCAACTGCTGCTACCATGCTGGAGTTTTAAACTTTCCCCTGAATACTATTGAAGCTCTGAGGAATTAGTAATCCTCGCCCACGTCATATAAATTGACGCCCGCGGTAATTTATATGACATGGGCGTCATCACCAAGCCCAAGTCGTGCAGGTTTAACAGTCACCAGTCGTGGTGAATACTGACAAGGGTTAAGACATCTGTTTACCAACATTAACACATAACTAACCTTGGACCTGTGGTAACTGGGGAGAGTGTTGATGACCTGGAGATGACCGGCCCGTTGTGCCAGGTCAGCAGGGGTCTCCCCAACCCAGGTCAGGACGTGTGGGTACACCCGGCACACTTTCAGGAGGACCACCACCATCCGGGCCAGGCCGAGCTCCACCGCCCAGTGGAGGAGAGTCCTGCCAGTGTGGTCCTGCTGGTGGCCGTCACTCACCAGGAGGATGTTTCCCAAAAGTTCTGCAGTATTTCCCTCCCTGATCCTCTGTAGCAATAATGCATACTCTCCTTCACACTGTCTCCAACACTTTCGCTGAAACAGTCAGTATTATTTTTGTTGTAACTACAATGTGCAAACATGTTTAACATTTCCACGAGGATAATCTCAATAAACCGTCTGTTTAACTGTGGTATTAAAAATTGGATGATATTTGATCATTTATCATGGCTACAAGAACCTGTGTGAAACATTAATTTGAACCTTACAAGGCAATAATCATGTTTTGGCTGGATCACGTGATACGAACTACAGAGGTGAGTGGCCGCCAGAGTTAAGAACAGTGGCCGCCAAAGTTAAGAACAGTGGCCGCCAGAGTTAAAAACAGTGGGCGCCAGAGTAAAGAAAAGTGGCCGCCAGAGTTAAGAACAGTGGCCGCCAGAATTAAGAACATTGGCCGCCAGAGTTAAAAACAGAGGCCGCCAGAGTTAAGAACAGTGGCCGCGAGAGTACAGAACAGTGGCCGCGAGAGTTAAGAACAGTAACCGCCAGAGTTAAGAACAGTGGCCGCCAGAGTTAAGAACAGTGGCCGCCAGAGTTAGGAAGAGTGGCCGCCAGAGTTAAGAACAGTGGCCGCCATAGTTAAGAAGAGTGGCTGCCAGAGTTAAGAACAGTGGCCGCCAGAGTTAAGAACAGTGACCGCCAGAGTTAAGAACAGTGGCCGCCAGAGTTAAGAACAGTGGCTGCCAGAGTTAAGAACAGTGGCCGCCAGAGTTAAGAACAGCGGCCGCCAGAGTTAAGAACAGGAGCATTAGAGTTAAGAACAGCGGACGCCAGAGTTAAGAACAGCGGCCGCCAGAGTTAAGAACAGTGGCCGCCAGAGATAAGAACAGTTGTCGCCAGAGTTATGAACAGTGGCCGCCAGAGTTAAGAACAGCGGCCGCCAGAGTTAAGAACAGTGGCCGCAAGACTTAAGAACAGCGGCCACCAGAGTTAAGAATAGTGGACGCCAGAGTTAAGAACAGTGGCTGCAAGACTTAAGAACAGCGGCCGCCAGAGTTAAGACCATTGGCCGCAAGAGTTAAGAACAGTGGACGCCAGAGTTAAGAGCAGTGGACGCCAGAGTTAGGAACAGTGGCTGCAAGAATTAAGAACAGCGGCCGCCAGAGTTAAGAACAGTGGAGGTTACCTTGAAATGATTTCGGGGCTTTCTAGTGTCCCCGCGGCCCGGTCCTCGATCAGGCCTCGACCCCCATTAAGCAGCTTGTGACAGCTGACTAACACTCAGGTACCTATTTTACTAGCTAGGTAACAGGGACATAGGGTGAAAGAAAGTCTGTCCATTGTTCCTCGCCGGTGCCTGGGATCGAACCCAGGACCACAGGATCATAAGTACAGCGTGCTGTCCGCTCGGCCGACCAGCTAACGCTAGAGTTAGAACAGCGGCCGCCAGAGTTAAGAACAGCGGCCGCAGGAGTTAAGAACAGCGGCAGCCAGAGTTAAGAACAGCGGCCGCAGGAGTTAAGAACAGCGGCAGCAAGAGTTAAGAACAGCGGCTGCCAGATTTAAGGCCATTGGCCGCCAGAGGTAAGAACAGTGGGCGCAAGACTTAAGAACAGTGGCCGCCAGAGTTATGAACAGCGGCCGCCAGAGTTAAGACCATATACCGCCAGAGATAAGAACAGCGGCCACAAGCGTTAAGAATAGTGGCCGTCAGTGTTAAGAACAGCGGACGCCAGAGTTAAGACCATTGGCCGCCAGAGTTAAGAAGAGTGGACGCCAGAGTTAAGAACAGTGGCTGCAAGACTTAAAAACAGCGGCCGCCAGAGTTAAGAACAGCGAACGCCAGAGTTAAGAACGCGGCCGCCAGAGTTAAGAACAGCGGCCACCAGAGTTAAGAACAGCGGACGCAGAGTTAAAAACAGCGGACGCCAGAGTTAAGAACAGCGGCCGCCAGAGTAAGGAACAGCGGACGCCAGAGATAAGAACAGCGGCCGCCAGAGTTAGGAACAGCGGGCGCCAGAGTTAAGAACAGCGGCCGCCAAAGTTAAGAACGGCGGACGCTAGAGTTAAGAACAGCGGCCGCCAGAGTTAAGACCATTGGCCGCCAGAGTAAAGAACAGAGGCCGCCTAGTATTAAGAACAGCGGCGGCCAGAGTTAAGAACATTGGCCGCCATAATTATGAACAGTGGCCGCCATTGTTAAGAACAGTGGCCGCAAAAGTTAAGAACAGCGGCAGCCAGAGTTAAGTACAGTTACCGCCAGAGTTAAGACCATTGGCCGCCAGAGGTAAGAACAGTGCAACCCGTTCTCACACAAGACAGCACATATATGACTTAATGCTTAAAGTCAATATGTTGAATATGATTTAGTACATATGTGATATATTTCCAGTTACCTTTTTTACCAAGGCCCAAACTCTTCCTCACGTACCAATTTACGTGTCACAGTACCCGTCCATAGAGTTAAGAACAGCGGCCGCCAGAGTTAAGACCATTGGCCGCCAGAGTAAAGAACAGCGGCCGCCTAGTGTTAAGAACAGTGGCGGCCAGAGTTAAGAACATTGGCCACCATAATTATGAACAGTGGCCGCCATTGTTAAGAACAGTGGCCGCAAAAGTTAAGAACAGCGGCAGCCAGAGTTAAGTACAGTTACCGCCAGAGTTAAGACCATTGGCCGCCAGAGGTAAGAACAGTGCAACCCGTTCTCACACAAGACAGCACATATATGACTTAATGCTTAAAGTCAATATGTTGAATATGATTTAGTACATATGTGATATATTTCCAGTTACCTTTTTTACCAAGGCCCAAACTCTTCCTCACGTACCAATTTACGTGTCACAGTACCCGTCCATAGAGTTAAGAACAGCGGCCGCCAGAGTTAAGACCATTGGCCGCCAGAGTAAAGAACAGCGGCCACCTAGTGTTAAGAACAGTGGCGGCCAGAGTTAAGAACATTGGCCGCCATAATTATGAACAGTGGCCGCCATTGTTAAGAACAGTGGCCGCAAAAGTTAAGAACAGTGGCAGCCAGAGTTAAGTACAGTTACCGCCAGAGTTAAGACCATTGGCCGCCAGAGGTAAGAACAGTGCAACCCGTTCTCACACAAGACAGCACATATATGACTTAATGCTTAAAGTCAATATGTTGAATATGATTTAGTACATATGTGATATATTTCCAGTTACCTTTTTTACCAAGGCCCAAACTCTTCCTCACGTACCAATTTACGTGTCACAGTACCCGTCCATAGAGTTAAGAACAGCGGCCGCCAGAGTTAAGACCATTGGCCGCCAGAGTAAAGAACAGCGGCCGCCTAGTGTTAAGAACAGTGGCGGGCCTTGGTAAAAAAGGTAACTGGAAATATATCACATATGTACTAAATCATATTCAACATATTGACTTTAAGCATTAAGTCATATATGTGCTGTCTTGTGTGAGAACGGGTTGCACTGTTCTTACCTCTGGCGGCCAATGGTCTTAACTCTGGCGGTAACTGTACTTAACTCTGGCTGCCGCTGTTCTTAACTTTTGCGGCCACTGTTCTTAACAATGGCGGCCACTGTTCATAATTATGGCGGCCAATGTTCTTAACTCTGGCCGCCACTGTTCTTAACACTAGGCGGCCGCTGTTCTTTACTCTGGCGGCCAATGGTCTTAACTCTGGCGGCCGCTGTTCTTAACTCTATGGACGGGTACTGTGACACGTAAATTGGTACGTGAGGAAGAGTTTGGGGCCTTGGTAAAAAGGTAACTGGAAATATATCACATATGTACTAAATCATATTCAACATATTGACTTTAAGCATTAAGTCATATATGTGCTGTCTTGTGTGAGAACGGGTTGCTTCAGCAAGCCATTAAACACACTAAAGATTGATAACCCAAATGAATTTTTCATGGATACGATACCAACATCAGATCATATATCAGACGTCACCCTATCCCCACTGGATTTTGAAGAAGGCATAAACACTTATGCCCATGCACTCTGCACCAGGCCCGGATTCTTGGAACTCTATATTCATAAAGAACTGTAAAAAAACACTATCGCAGGCCCTCCACATTCTGTGGAGACAAAGCCTAGATACTGGCGTTATTCCTGATATACTAAAAACAGCAGAGATAGCACCACTTCATAAAGGAGGAAATAGGCAGAGGCAAAAAATTACAGACCGATAGCGCTAACATCGCACATCATAAAAATTTTTGAGAGAGTGCTAAGAAGTAAAATCACAAAATACATGGAATCACAGCAACTCCATAACCCCGGACAACATGGTTTCAGATCAGGGCGCTCTTGCCTGTCACAGTTGCTGGACCACTATGATATGGCATTAGATGCTATGGAAGACAAACATAACGCGGATGTAATTTACACAGATTTCGCAAAAGCTTTTGATAAATGTGACCATGGTGTTATTGCACATAAATGCGTTCAAAAGGAATTACCGGAAAAATAGGCAGATGGATCTACAATTTCCTGACCAACAGAACCCAATGTGTAATAGTCAACAAAATAAAATCCAGCCCATCAACCGTGAAGAGCTCAGTCCCCCAGGGTACTGTGCATGCTCCAGTACTTTTTCTCATCCTCATTTCGGACATAGACAAGAACACAACCTATAGCACTGTATCATCCTTTGCAGATGACACTAGGATCTTCATGAGAGTAGGCAACATAGAGGACACGGCGAACCTCCAGTCAGATGTAGATCAGGTCTTTCTATGGGCTACAGAAAATAATATGGTGTTTAACGAAGATAAGTTCCAGCTCATGCGCTATGGAAAAAATGAAAATATAAAAACGGAAACCACGTACAAAACTCAGGCAAATCATAACATAGAACGAAAAGGCAATGTAAAGGATCTGGGTGTACTCATGTCGGAAGACCTTACCTTTAAAGAACACAATAAAGTAGCCGTCACAACTGCAAGAAAAATGACAGGTTGGATAACAAGAACTTTTCACACTAGAGATGCTATACCGATGATGATACTTTTCAAACGCTTGTGCTCTCTAGAGTAGAGTACTGCTGCACAATGACAGCACCTTTCAAAGCTGAGATTTTAGAAGTTTGTTAAAAGT